TTTCCCTTTCCTTCACATATGCAACTACGCAGTTTCGTTTAACCTAACTCTTCCTTTCTGTTTTCCTCTTTGGTAATTATTTATAAAGTAAACGCCCTCTAAGATTTCTATGACTTTACATTATGTTATAGAAATCAATATTTTGAACGATTTTTTCGTTTATATATAATTACCGCACGACCTTAGTTTCCGAGTATTCACAAAATTTCTTTCATACCACACATTGAATTCTGCAGCACGTTAGAGCTATAGGAAAAAGTTAGTCAAAATATTGATTTTTATAACATATTAAAAAATCATTGAAATCCTTTAGGGCTACTACTTTTAAAATAATTACTTTTCCTTTTTTTGTCATATTTTGTATATTACCTTTGCGTGCCTCGAGTATTGACATTATTCTCACGTGCTAGACCACTTAGAATTTCCTATGATGTACGCGTGCTCGTGCGTCCCTGTGTGGCATCGTTAACACGCAAAACACGAGGGCAATGAAACTTCGATAAAACACAGAGGTTAAAAAAATTGAAAGGTGCGTCGTAAGTTTGGACGTTTGTAAACGCGACTTCTTGCCGCAGGTCTTGAACTGACAATTGACAGGAATTATTTGTTGAGTCTTTCTTGTTACCTCTTCGAGATGTTCGGACTCTCGGGAATGCGAGATGCTCAACGGATATATCTCGACAATCGATGGATCGATCGGTATCGAATTTAGTGTACATCCTTATCGACAGGTTCCTATTCTAAATCACGGTTAATCATTAGATATACGACTGCATTTCGAAAACGTGCTCTCAGGAATAAGACATGAAAACAAAGTTGCAGAAGATGTTCGATATGAATGTCGAAATAATTGAATTCTTTGCGCGTTTGATATCGTGGTTAATACTATATGGATAATGATAGTTTGAATAATTCTTATTACACAATTCTTTTTCCGACTGTTGATTCTAATGAATTGATTTATTTTGCAAGGAACAGAGTAATTATGATTTTGATGTCACGTGCCGTTTACCTAGTTTAGTTACAGGAAATTTCACTATGCAATTCGCGCGCAATCATTACACTTGATCAAAAAAATTATGAAAAATTGGAAGCACGCTGTTCTGACAATTATATGATCCCTGGCTAAAGTTGTAAAATCGTTTTCTGTCGAATTACGTTGAATATTATTGCATAATGTTTGCATCTCAATAAATTTTTATCACCAATTATTATAATAAAAAATTTAACGAGATATAATAGTAGACGGTAAAAAAATACAGAAAAATGCATAAGGTATGTGACATAATGAAATATTTTGTACGTGAATTTACAATTGATAACATATTTAGGTTATAAAACGTTTAAGACATCAAATAATTAATATTATAAAGTTTAACGACGTCTTGTTGACAAATACAGGTGTTATCATTATCAACACGAGGTACTTCATTATTTTACCACATTATTTGATAAATTATTCAATCTCAAAGTACTGCACAGTTATTAACAATGATTATTGGTCTCGCGATAACCATTACGATCAACGATCTACTTAAAAATAAAATTTTGTTAAATATATATGTTACAAATTGTGAAACAGTTGTTTACTAAAAATTCAACCAACTATTTTAAAAGAGTGAGTTTTCATCGTTTCTTCGTTGTAAAACGAATGAAGAATATCGGCCCTCTTTCGGGCACCGAAATAGGTCGAACCGCGATTTGGCACCGTATGAGATATCGAATTTTGATAAATCACACCACGAACAGTATCACTCGTTTCTTCTATTTCGTTCGGTATAGTTTAAACGTAGAGCAAACCAATCCGCCTTTCTTTCACTTTCCATACAATCGAATACTAGTTACGTTTGATAAATGTCAATCATGAAACGTTAACAGTTAAACAATTATGTTCGAAAATTCAAGTATGGTCCAGATTCTTTTCGTAATGGTTTCGAATATTCTCCTAAACACATGTTTTTCACACTGAAGTAATTCCCGCTTAATTCTCAATTTCAGGGAAGCATTTAGCGATAACACGACAAATTCAACAACATACCTATAAGAATGACACATTTACCTCACCCTACGAACCATAACGGGAATCTGATTCGTTATGCGGTAAATGATATACTTACATGGAACAAAGAGGCCAATCAGCTTCAAGTATCCGCGTATCTCTCCGTGTACACAAACAGATCACACGTCTAATAACCCGCGTTCCATCAAGCGATCACATACTTTCTCCGCGGCGACCTCTCGCATCTGTCACCCCAACAGCGAACCACCCTTTTCGCTCGCTCGTGATGCACGCTCACCGAAAACACCATCAGCTGAGAGGACGTGGATCGTTGGTGGCCGACACGAGAGTCATCCCGATGATCCTGACGGAAAATACACGGATGCTGGACAACACGCGTGGACCACACGAATTGATTCTGTCGCAACGCAAGATCTCGTACTCTCGAATCCAGCACGTCTCGTATCTCGTCCCACGACGACAATCGATAAAAGTCAGCTCTCTTTCTCACTCTCCTTCCTATCCTTCTCTCGCTCCCTCTCTATCTTCCTCTGTCCCTCCTCGCGGATCTGTTCTCCTCTCTGGGTATCCTCGTTGTCGTGAGAACTCTCGATGCGTGAAAGGTGTCGAGAACGATTATTCCGTGGAAGATCGTCGCGCGGCAGCTGGGCAATCGCGAAATACTCGAGGCTGGGAGCAACAGAGTAGCTCGCGGGCAGCGGCGCGTCTCTTTGCGCGTACACGCGTGGACCGAGCACACCGGCTGGTTCAGCAACCACCGATCGATGATACGTTCATCAGGATTCACCTTGGGCGCATATTCGAGTCTCACTGAAACTCTGCCTCTATGCTTCCCTCGCACGTTTACTTGCTCGTTTGCCTCGCCTCGTCTCTGCTCGCGACTTGGTTCGCGCTATCACAAGGCGTCGCGACGTCTGACGTCTGTATTCATGGTCTGCCTAGCCAGCCCGTAACCCGACGACATACTGTGGATATATTTGGAGAGGCGAACCAAAAAACAGTTTGTCGGGACGAAACCGCGAGGAGAACGAAGCGGGAAGAACGAATGAGAAGGTAGGGAGATGACGAACGTAAGATAATGATGAAAGATGAATTTTTAGGAAGACGACGCAATGTAAGGAAGGAGAGAGAACGGAAGAACGCGATTGAAGCGGAGGAAAGGAACGAGAGAAAAAGCAATGGAGGACGAGAGGCCGGCTGATTATATGGAGAGGAAAAAAAGGGAAGATCGAGAAGAGAGCACGGGAGATGGACGTAGATGAGGATGAAGGGTGGTAGAGAGGAAGTTGTGAACTACAAGGCGGGGAGAGGAAAGACGAAATAGTGGGATATGAGGGAGCATGCTCTTATTGACAAAGGGCAGGGACTCCGCCCCTGTTGAGAGTTAGACTCACGTCTGCGCCTCCTTTCTGCCAAAACGATCCGCGTGTTCGGAAAGCGGGCACTGGAATTTTGCTCCTGGATTTCTACGCGGATCGAATCTTCCTTGCATCGCGATATCGTGGAAACTATCACTCCTGACATCGAAACATATTTCATTTGCCTTTGCGTGTTTAACGACACTTTTACCCGCGTGAAGCTCGAATTAGCGGTGACAAGGAAAAATATATAGAGGTTAACGTTTTATGAGTTTGTTGCCTAGATTATAGAAAATAACGTTGTATCTCGATGTACACAACTGCTTTGTATAGAATATTATGTTTGACGAAGATTCTAAAAGCATACAGAGCAAGCGATATTCATAAAACATAGTAATTTTTTTCAAAGATAGTTTCATATTATCATTCATACAGGATTATAAATTTCTATTTCTATTCATACGTAGTTAAAAAGCTTCATGGAACTTATTGTTATAATGATGTAAATATACCTTCAAGGTATCTATAATAATATCCAAGGAAATTATAGAACACCTTTATATATCACACCAACATCTAAATTCTGCCATAGGGATAAACACCTCGTTATATACTCAACTCTAGTGTTATCAAGGCAGTTAAAATGGCTGGATTCAAACGTTTTGTTCTTACAGTCACTGAAGATAGATAGCTCCATTTGACAAGATTACTATTAATTTTTATTAAGATAAGTGTAATTATATATACTTAATTCTCTTCATCGTACATTTCAATTACTATTATCTATGTATATTACATTTAATTATATGTTTCAGATTGATAATTGTGTTAAATAGCGTCCAATTATGCTGTTATGCATATATGGCGTTTAAGATATTTTTATTGCTGGTCTCCAATTTACCGACAGGGTTCTGCATTATCCCCACCACCTCTACAAAGGCATGCGTCAACATAAATTTCTTTTTAATCGTGTACATGGTGTTCACGTTGTAATTCCGTGTGCACGATGGCAGTGTTTTCCCTTAGATCAATTTTGATACAGCTTACATAAATTTCGTATCTCTGGCAAGTTTTGAGTTTCGTGCCGTGATAATTACATGAACGTTCGTGACGTACAACTCATTATCGTACTGCACGGATAGCCATACGTGTATGGTTGTTTCATGTCGATATTCTAACAATTTCCGTTATGACATCGCCAATATAAGCGTGACCAGAAAAAAAGAATAGTACCGCGTCGAGCTGTTTTATATTTCCAGTTGTGTGTTTACGCATACCAGTGATTTATTTGAAAGAAAAAAGAAATCGCTCCTGCTACGTTAAATTATAACGCATTTTGCATCCCTGGGAAATGCCGTGTTGTACTTGTAGAATCACCGCGCTGTAAACACAAGAAGAAAAGAGTTGATGACTTTACATGGATACTTATTCTCCTATGGTTATTTTTGAACCTAGATTTCTCGGAGTCCGAGCACTATTTATAAAGAAAAGATTTTAATCCACTAGCCTCACCTAATGTAATATACGGCAATTTGTAACGTTTATCTAATGCGATATAGTACGGATCTAACGAAGACACGAGAAATTTTTTAGATACTGTGAATAAAGAAATGTATTTTCCTTTTTCCTATTTGAAAAATCAACATCGCATCAACAACAAGACTATTAAATTCTATATGTGGAAGAATTAAATTGCATGATAGAGATATGAATAGATTAAAAATTTAATGTTTTTTTTATGTGATTTTAAAAAATGTCTGAATTAATGATAATTGCAAGGTAAGCTGCATTTATAAAGTTATTTCGCATTTAATGCTAATTTAAGAAATTATTTAATCGATGTATCTTCTTGGTAGTAGTTTAAATAGTAATTGTTTGTATTGATATGAAATCATTAGAAATTTTATTGTCACAATTATGTATTTATTACGCCCATATTTATTGTTATTTACTGTTTTCAGAAAAATTTTTGATAAAGTCAAAGATCTAATTTCTTGTTCATATTTTAAATAATCTAACACTAATACGTCAATGACTTAGAAAACGGAAGAAAATAACCTAAATAAATCTTTCATCACAAACTTACACACGAGATGTCGCATAGAATCTGAATTGTATTTAACCTATACAGAGTACACCGTTTCCAAACCCTGACGTTTACTTCGTGTTAAAAATGACTCTATTCTCTTCGTTTATCTGGTTGTCTCGTGTGTTTATTTCGCCGGTGCACAGCCGCGAACGTAACGTTTGACGTCATTTACATAATCAGAAAAAAGAAGAAACGGAGAAACAAGAAAAATATAATCGTAGTAATACGACTGGATCGATCATCGCGAGGCACAATTCGTGGAGAAAACGCATGTTCGGACGATTTCGTTTCTACATTGCACGCTTCACCGAAACTCGATGACGCGCAAAACAAAACGACGAAAGAAAAACAGAAGTCCAGCCCGAACGTTTCACTCATTCAGCAAGAATTTCAGAAATGTCAAATCAAAAATACGCTGATTCGTACACTGGGGATTCCGGTTAGATGACTTTTTCCAGAATGAACAATAAATCCCGTAATATCCATACGGCGTGCGCCGCTTCCACGCCAGGCAATTTATCGAACAATAAAGTAAGAGCTCCTATTGTTCGGGATAGAAAAATCAGGATAAAAACTTCCGTTTTGCATCGCGTTCTACTTCAGCTGTGTGTTGTCGCGCGGGAGATCGCGTATACCGTTGTTTGGAAACGAGCGTTACGTTAAAACAATATACATGTCCGTTTAAATTGCTCACGGACGGTATACGATGTTGCACTATGTATATGAAGACAAATTTTCGTACTTATAAACTATGCAGTTGAATCGTTTTTTTGATAGATTGCAATAACACATTGAACATTTCAAAATTACTACTAGATCGAACATAGAATTCCTTAAATAAAGTAAACATTACATGGGAACCATTTTTGTACCGAATTTTTCAAAATTTTCCAAAATTTACAATTATTTATGTTTATATGTAAATTTGGTAAGGAATTATCTTTATTATTACAAATAATTTCTTGGTATGGTGCTTTGTTTTTGAGAAAATCATCGTTACATATACCAAGGTTAGTTGTATGTATATTTAATACAATTTTCCAACTGTGAATGAAAAGTTTCATATCACATTTTTATATTATTTTTGTAGAAGAGATCTTTATAGACTCAAATGTATAATTTTTTACATATATTATAAATTAATTATATAAATTATTTCAAAATTTAATAAAAATCTAAAGAAACTATCTCCTCGTCAATTTGGAGGATTTTTAAATATGTTACAAAGGACTTTGTTTTGAACAACTTTTGCCTTTGAAAAAATTATTAATTGACCTTAATTGTCGAGATAGCAAACTCCTTTCCTACTATTCTGCAATCTGTGGCTACGCACTTGTATATGTACACACTTGTGGCAATGTGTAGTTAACAGAGAAGTATCCTTTATGTGATGCAATGTAACGTAACCAAATCGATGAAGAGGTAGTTTTTCTAGATTTTTATTGAAAATTCATTTAAATCATGTTTGCTGCAGTTTTTGAAGGATTACTATAAACTGGTGAAGTATCATCTAGACGAGCATTTGCCTAAGAAAATTCCAAGCTTTCCCACTGTGGACGAGTTGAGATCTCGGGCCGAACAGGAATTTATTAATTATTATGGGTTATTCCCTACCTGTGCAGTATTTGCTCCCGGTTGTTTTACCATAGCTGGCAAAAGTGCAAATCTCGTGGAAAGTAAATCATTGTCCATGGTAGGTGCAAATTCAGGCATTTCTGTGGCGGTTCATTGTGAGCCCCAGTTTCTCGTTTGCACGATCGCTGAATATGCACTTTCCTACAATCGTAACGTACGGAAAAAGCAACAGAGGTGTGCAACGACGCGCGCATTTGTCTTCGTTTATCTTCCCTTGAAATAAAACAGGCCATTCAACTTGTCACGTTGGTAGTTGGTAAACGTAGACACGGCAGCAAATGGTGTCAGGTTAAGATGTTCTTGGATAAAAATGCCGGGGAAACGTTCGAGCTACGCTTGAACAATGAAAATCTTCACATACACGCAGAAGAAACATCGTGGATACGTTACTTGAAAGGAACGATACGAAGTTTCAAAAACAGGCGAGGTATTAGCTAATTCGGTTTCCAATTTCGATCTGGTTTGTTCACCGTTTCGTTTTTACGATCGTAAAATTTACTATTGGTTATTTCAATTTGAAAGCAGAGTGTAAACGTTTGATAACCTATATTTGTTACGAAAAACATAGTTGATATATCATATCGCAATTAAATGCATGTTTAACGTTCACGACTGATAGCTAGTTATTAAAACGGATTATATTAGTCGAAGTATAATGTTAAGTCAAAGAGAAATAAATTAACGAACAACTCGTAACGGTACGAGTGACTACGATTTAAACTCTGGTTAACCTAAAATTACATATGTACGTATGTATTTTGACACGAAAAAGAAAATGAGTGTGAAACACGTACAAGTTGAACGTAATCGATATTGTTAACAGCATACATTCCTGGATTTCAAATCGTAATCGTCTCCAGTTTACCGGCAAAACATAACTTCGGAAGTAGCTCCGCTTTGGTTGTTGCGTTGTATACATTTTTCGAGGCGATTACAAATCCTCATGCAGAAAGCATTATAGAGAAAACGTTGATTTGCCACATAGCGGAGGAATTAGCAGCAGGCTCTGGTAAAATTCGTATCTCGGACATTCTGACTTCCATTATCGGAAGTGAAAGCCAGATTTTCGCGATCGATCCACAATCTCTTCATATCGATCGATACCAATGGAATGCTATAGATGTTGAATTTATTCTCATCGAACTGGCTAACGTTAAGAAAAAATCATACGGTATACCAATACGGTATACGAATGAAACATGCTATAAGGAAATTATGACAGTCATCAATACGATGTCTCGATGGCGTACGCATCCGATTGGTGTTTCGATGATGAAATTTTTATTTTCACAAAGAACGATGGAAATGGCCAATGACATAATCGACAGGGATAGAAGAATAGTGAAAATGACAGACGCGATTCGGAAGGAGCAGTGGAATGTATTGGGTAGGATATTATCAAATGGTTCTTTGTAGCTTGATTAATTATTGAATATTTTGTTTTCCATTGCATAGTATTAATATCATATAATTGATATAAGCAAGTATTTTACATAGCTTTTTAAAATATTACATGAAACGTAAATACAATATATTATTTAGGCTGTAGTTTTTTTTTTAATATATATATTTATATTTATGTATCTTTCCTTATAATAATAGGTCGTATTTTCAAGTTTAATTAGTATGTTTCAAAAATTAGTCCATTTAGATACCGCGCATTTTATTAAAAGCAACTCAAGTCGTTATGTTTCTATGCAAATTTTGATTCAACGTTTAAAACCTACATTACAGGAAAGCTCTTATGGGAAAATCATCGTTCCGCGTGTAAATATTTGAACTTTTTGTCCGATGATATTAAACATATCGAGAGTATGTTTAAAACTATCGAGGGAATTTTAGGAGCCAGTATTATCAATGACGGTACATCCATCGTCACACTGGTAATTTATCTTTATCATATCTTTCAAAATAAAACAATTGCTTTGTAAAAAAAAAGAAATAAATGAAAATACTGTACATTTTAATCGTATAAAAAGAGGAAAACAAAAAACGTAAACATAAATGAAAATACATGTTATATGATTATGATTATTACGTAAAACATCGATTAGCGCATTATACTTCATTATGCATTCAAAATCTATTGCAATGTTTATTAGTCATATAACTATATCTCCCAACAGGTACAAAAATCGAAACTGAAAACTTTCATCGCTTTTTTAAATCGTATGAAAATGTCGCAACAATATTACTTAATGAAGGCATGTACGGGAACATCTATAATTTATACGTACGAACGACCCTTAAATATAAAATATTTATCTCAGCCAAAATTAATAATCAAGAATTATCTTCGTGACAAAAATGTCGAAGAAAATTATTATAAAAAATATAAAATACAAGAGTTCATTGATACCATTTCGTTATTTGTACCACGCAAATCTTAAATTTTAATTGAAATTTTTTTTTTTAAATTCTTTTTAAATATTTGTTTTCGCTATGGATATATATATAGGAACCTTTATATCTGCATACATTTCGTCGTTCTTATATTAATCCAACCATTGTTTTTACGTGCAACAGTTTATAAATGAATATAATAAAAGAAGAATAAAAAAAAGAAATGTCTTACAAAATGATTTTCATTTGAGCGAAAAATATTACGTGGACTTGTTATGTTGCAGAATTGATCTTTTTGATGGAATGTGTATTTGATTGGTCGTCAACTTGCGTACGGAAGTTACGCATGCGCATAATAATACTATGTTTGCCCTTTTATTTCTCTTACCCACTCTTACGCCCTTTAGTTCCCTATATTCCCCTTCTTTTTTCTTTTTTTTTTCATACGTAGTATTCGTTCTTTTTTTCTTATAAATGCATACGTTATTACAATGCGCGTGCGACATACAAAGAGACAATACTATAATGCGTGTACCTTGCCTTTGTAATTGGGTACAAAGAAACGGAATTCGCGTTTACACATCACATTACTAAGAGCACTTAAACCACGCGACACTTAAGTGCGTTATAAAAATACGCAATATTATTACGGTAAAATTCATAGTTTTCAGTTCGAACGACTGCATTTACTTATTGGAAAATGGAATCATCGCGATGATAATAATCTCAGAGACATCATAGCGTGTGATAGTTTTGTTCAGTCAACGCTTTATACAGTTTATTTGAGACTAACATAATTGCCACTAAACATGTAGCTAAAATGATGCCACCTAAAAAAGGAAAAGATAAACAATGTTTTATTCGAATGTAAGATAATATATCAGGTTAGCATACCTATCTGTATACATTTACTTAAACAATTTCAAGAAGTTTATTTGAGAAAAGAAGCAAACGTGTATGAAGAAAAATATCATTTAAATGTATGTAAATATTAATATCAAATACCTACCGAAGAAGCTGAGACCATCAAAATGTCGTCCTTTATAAAAAGTAACTTTTGATACTGGAACCACTGGTGTTACGGGTGTTGATGTAACATTAGATGTATCGTTTGGAATAGTGGGTATAACTGTAGTCATATTTTTAGCCTTTTCGGATATAGTTGTTGAATTGATGAGTGTAGTTAAAATTATAGATTTTAAGGTTGTTGTTGTTATACCATTAGGTTCCAATTTATGATCATTGATCAGGATGCTATCATTTGTAGTTTTGTTACTGACAACATTAGTAGCAACAGTGGTAGCATCGGTAGAAATAGGAGAGACAATATCGGTAGTTGTAGTAGTGATATTTTTAATAGCGTTAGTAGTTGTATTAGCAGAAGTAGAAGTATTAACTGCTTTAGCAGGACTCGTGGAGTTTATAATTGGAACAGTATCGTTAACTAGATTCAGTGTCTGCTGAGTGGTGGATTTAGTATCCCCTTGCGTTGTACCAGCTGTATAAAGAATTAATACAATATATATTACTAATAAAATTCTTGCCTCAAAGCTATTCGTAAAAATAAGTTTATCGTACAAAAAATATAAGAATATTATTTATTTTTTTCATAAGTTAACCCTCTGCACTTGAAGAGTTTTCCATTATAGAGATATAACAATTCCAAGCTTTTCTTACATTTTCCTAAGCTCGGTGATATACTACTTGTGCTAAAATAAAAAAGGGAAACCATATGTATTTTATTTCAATATTTCACGTGTAGTTACTTCTAGTCTAATTATTGTTTCATATTCGTTACTTAATTTTCAAAGTATCAAAAGAAACAGCGATTAAGAGCCATCCCTCGAGTACAAAGGGTTAAAACTAAGTATGAAATTTTGAATACAAGTAATATAGAGACAAGTAATATAAGAACAATCGACATAAATATCTGTCTAAAATTTAACACTTTTATGATATCCGTAATTATTATTTGTGAAAAAATTAATTCTTACTGGAATAAAAATATTTACTTTAAAATTTTATTTTTGACAATTTTAGTAAATAATAAAAATTTATGTTTTCTCGAACAATGTAAAATAAAATTAATTCACATAAAATAGATGGCCATAAAAATAAAAAAAATTTCTTGACATTTAATCAAATATTTAACGTTGTAAAGGAAATGAATAAAACTGTAAAATAACCGTATATAGCAAGCTCAAATGATTACTATATGTATGTGCATTACATTACAAGATGTCCTGTGCTGTATACTTAAGTGTATAAGCAAGAACATAAAATCGATAATGGTAAAATTCTACGGAAAGAAACGGTACGATTAATTAAAAAGCGTAGATGAATGATCAAACGATGTAAAACTAAAGAATTTTAGGTAAGCGTATGTTTCTAGAGACATCGAAAAACATAGCAACGACCTGTCCTATGTAACACGATGCAAGTGAATGTGCTGCTGCGTAAAATTAAAAATCCGTAGGAGATCATATAATATACGTATCTATTCTGTGCATAAATTGTATTTCTTAAGCAACATTCATAGAAACGTTCAAAAGGAAAATCTCGTACGTATTAACGCATAGTTGAACACGGAACGGTTTATAGACGTTAATAAAGCAAATACATGGTGAAATATCAATACTCACCATTATCGTTCGCAATGCAGCAGATGGTTGTAGCGAACAAAATGCAAGTTATATACACTAATCTCATGTTTGCGGTGAAATACGAACAATTCCAACAATCACGTACGATTTTTAAAGAAAGTCAGATGTTGTCGAACAGATTCCTCGTTATAAACCAGGTAGAGAAGCGTGCAACGTAAGCTTCTGCTGAAATTGAACTGGTCGCTAGCATCAGCTTCCACCAATTGCAACTGTACGAAGACAGTAGCGACGCTACGTATATAACTTCACTTTTTAAATATATTCCCTAGGTGGCTTACACGATGCATACCAGCATAAAAGATATTATTTTTGTATATCGATTAGTTAAAAAATATGGCAAATTAAAATTTTTATTTCACGTTACTTATACAATAATTTTTCGCATTTACGATTGCCATCGATATATTCACTAAGGTAGTCAAATGCGTGGCAATCGAATTTATACATTTTCCGAATATACATATAGAAATCACGTAAAATTGATTATTTAACACGAAAATGTAATAGGAAATAAAGATATTATAATTTCTTTAAAAAATATACGTCCGTTGGTAGTATTAAAAATTTGAAAAATCTAAACGTATACAAATATTTGTACGTAACTATTGGAAATAGGTTGTCTGGTATATCGGAAAGCTAAAAATATTATAGTTTGCTATTTTAAACGATAACTCGGTCTCGAATTATATCGCGTAAAAGAGGTTAAGAAAATGAAAATAAGTATAGGATAGTTGACCAGTGGTAGTACCGACAATGTGTCGGGATTAAAATTTTGAACCATCATTGATTAAGGCACTTGCTAACGACTTGGCATATATAATCGTTATAATTAGAGTAGAGAAAAAATGCACCAATCAGCAGGGAGCAGGGTAAAACCGGTGCACATACCAAAGCGCATATGGACGTTATGTTTTACATTCTGTTCTTATTCGTGCCGGCTCCTTTGCAGGATATTCTAATAAAGTGGCGCACTCTGCCGTTGGAGAGAGAAATCGAAAAGGAACAGTCGGGAAT